ATTTTCAATTATTGTTTCAAGTCCATTTGATGGTGATGAAGTAACAAATGGTCGATTATTTCCTTTATCAATTTGTTTAACAGCATCGATAATTGTATCAACAGATAATTTTCTATAATCATCTTTTGTTTTTTTCATTTTTTCTTGTGATACACCCTACCAATTTTGTGCAACAGCAGCTTCATTTTCATTATTTCCAAAGCAAAGTACAATAGATGGATGATGTTGAACTCGTTTAACTTGATAAATAACTTCATCATGAACATTTGTTAAAAATGGTTCATCAACAGGATAACTAAATTTTCAAATATAAGAAAACAAAAAAAAACTAATAATTTAGATAAACTTACAGACTACAAGCAAACATAAAATCATGCCATAACATTATACCTAGACGATCAGCTATTTCATAAAATGAATTACGTTCATATATTCCACCATCCCATATACGTAACATATTCATATTTGATAATTGAGCTGAACGTAGTAAACGTTCAAGTTTTTCATCACTAACACGTTCTTGCAATGAATCTGATGGTATCCAATTACTTCCTTTTATTAATATAGATTTAAAATTAATAGAAAAATAAAATGATGTTCCATTTTTTCCTGCTCCATATTCATGTTGTATAAGTTGAACTGTACGAAAACCAATTAAACGTGAACCAATTCGATTATCTTGATTTAAAATAACTAAATTATTTTATGGTTGATCACCATATCCATTTGGCTACCAATGTAATACATGTTCATCTGATATTGATAAAGATATTGTTAAATTATGATTAAATGTTACCGTAGTTTCATATGGCCATGTTGTATTTTCTAATATAAATTTTAATTTACTTGCAAATGGATCATTATTACTACTTAACATAATATCAACTTACCAAGTTTTATCTACTTTATTATACGAAGCAAGATTAACAGTTTCAAGTGCAATAATTATTTCTGTTGTATTTACACCTTCAAGATATATATTACCTGGAATACTAATTGGAGCAAAAGCTGGACCCTAGAAATAGATAATTATATTAATTTATTATTCAAAAAATATAATTGTTAATTATGAATACAAATTATGTCTAACATATCTATCGGGTAATTTAGTAACAGCTAATAATCATTGAACTTCACTTTAGAACTCTGAATAGATTTGCTTGTCATGATTTGTGCACTTGCTTTTTTTAATGTATGTAATTAAGTAATTGAAAAGGTTAATTAAAATTTCATCCTATTACGGTCATATAAATATAACTTAGAAACAAAAAAGTATAATACTGATAAGCAAGTAAGAATCGAAATGGAGAACGAAACAAATACACAATAAAAGATGTAAGTGCAATCTATTAATAGATAAGATTGTATCCAGTCAGAATGATAAAAAAAATCATTTCTCAACTTTCAATGCAAAAAAAAATATAACAAGCAGACGGATAGGTTCAATCACTTGTTTGAACCTCTAAATCACCTTTAAATATATTGACGAATAACTACAAATTTAATAGCAGGGTAGCCTCACAACAGATTTATTACTTTTGATTCTGCATGTTCTGAAAAGAGTACGAGCCCTTAGCTTATTGTTTTGTATACAGTAGTTTTAGTTGCCCTCAGGAAAAACTCATTTTCGAATTTCGACTTGAAACTTTAAATACAGACAGTTCTTAACGAAAATCGATCATTTTGTTTTTCCTATCCTAGATACAAATTCAAAGACTTAAAACTTTCACAATAAACTATTCTCGTTAAGATCTGCCAGTATACAAAGTTTCAAATCGAAACTTGAAAAGGATTTTTTTTCCTGAAGAGTACTACGACATTTCTTTAAAAACTACTGTATACACAACAATAAGCCTAGAGCATGAATTCTTTTCAGGGTATTCATAGCTCACTAGAATGTACATACTACAGATCCTAAATCGATTAATACTTTTCTTGTTAGTTTAAGCTAATGCTTCACAGTTGCAGGTTTAATAAAAGAATAGTGAATAAATATGTTCTTAAATAGATAGAATAAAACACTCTCTATGATTAGCAAGAATAGCTACATCGTATTTTACATTTTAATTGCACTAATAATTTTTCAATCAAATTTAAATATCAAATCTCCATACAAAAAACAAACAAAATTTGAGTTCATCTTAAAATAATTCATTTTATCTCTAGATGTAAATTCTTACCCAATCCCAACTAAATGAACATGGTTCTTTTCGAATAAATTGTACATGACATACACCATTTTGAACATTAGCTGTACACAGTGGTGGTACTGTGTCATTATATGCATCAGCTTGTTTTAATGCATAAAGAACAGGTGATTCAAAATCAATTTGAATTTCATTTTCAAGTTTTAAACATGAATTTGTTATATTAAATATATATGGTATAAACATACGATTAGTTCTACCAATAGAACATGTATTTAATGTTATATTAGCAACTGTATCAATTTGTTCTAAATGTATTGTAATTTGATTTGAAACAAGACGGTGAATGAACAGTTAACAGACAGAACGAAAGAAATATATATATATGACCCATTCTAGGCACGACACGTTTTCTCCATCGAGTTTGCGACACTATAATTTACGACACATTTATCATTCAACTATCAATTATAGAATTAGTTGATAACCTTTTAGATTATTAAATATTTAAACTGAATTAGATTTTCATTTATATAAAAAAAAGGAGTGGAATATCACATGAAGGATGCATATAATCCGAATGATGATCATAATGATCTAATTGAAATACATTCACTATAAACAATATTATTATTATGAATGTTTTTGATTAATGCGTTCATTTCTATTAAATTCAATGAATCTCTTTCAACTATGAGTTTTGATATTAAAAAATCAGTTGAAATTTTTTTTGATTTAAATACACGAACAAAGACGAAACATATTGAAAAAAGTCTAGGATTAAGATCAATGTGATAATCAAAAATTAAACATGTTGATTGATTTATATTCAGTATTATTTATTCATATTTATTGAGAGTTATTAAATGAACAAAGAAAAAAAGAACACAACTAGCTTTAATGAAAAAATATATCTGAAGACCATATTTTACATACAAACCATTTATAACTTTGATGATGTAAATCATAGAAACATTCACCACAGATCATATGTCCACAACCATAAATAGCTATACCATCAATAGAATTACCCATAATACTCTTACATAATGGACATATTAATGGTTCAGCCATAATATCTAGATGAAAAATTAAAAGGAGTTAATTTGGAATTGAACTAGAAAAAAATTAGAGCTTACTCCTTTTATTTAAATATAATTGACGAGATGAATGAGAAGAAACAGCGATGATCTATTTATCAAAAAAGGCAGAATTTAGAAAAAAGAATAAATTGAACTATGTGATGCTTGCCTATTTATATGGTGTTGGAAGGTTGTAAATATTTCTTAGTTTGAATTTAATAATGAGTTTGCATATGATCTGAATCTCGTTTTTATTACCATTCATCTCCTCTAACATTTATAATCGAAACCACCTACTGCGAGATGAAAAACAATCACCTCTTCTGTTTCCTCTTTCTTTTTATTTTATTTCGTCTTTTCTCTCCTGTTATTCGTTATTCTCTTATGCATCAATCAATTAGATTATGACTG